CCCACGTGCAACGCGGGGACGCTGTGGTCCCTACCACCAGGAGATTCAGGGGCCCCGGGTCTGTGTCCTCATCTGGGGAAGACTAGCCTGGAAGTTTCCAGATTCCCGGGATTCTGGGTCACAGGGGCAGGCCCAGCAGGTGTGGGGTACAGGGGGACCAACTGAGCAGATGGGGGTGCAGCCACAGAGTGAGGGGTCACTTTCCGGGGAAGTGGGGCCACGACAGGGGCGCTGGGCGGGGGCGGGCCGGCCCGAGGGCAGGGCAGCTGGATGGCAGACCCGCCCCGCGCAGGCCTCTCCCTCCTCCCCCCTCCCCTCCCTCCCGGGGGACCCAGCTCTGCCTGGGCCTGGCGGCTGAGTGAGGTCAGAGGTCACCCCACCCCCGCCGGCTCCCGGAATGAGGACAGACCAGTTGTGTCAGAGGAACAGGACAAAAGCCACACTTTGGGGGGCGTCTCGGACCACCCATCCGCTGGACTCGGTGCCAGCTGGGCGGCAGTCCCAAAGCCAAGGCTGGGAGGGCGTGGCAAGGCAGCGGGAGCGGGGAAACTGAGGCACGGAGGCCCGCACCACCCCCCTGGGTCTCAGCCCTGCGTTCTTCATTCCCTACACACTTATTGAGCACCTGCTGTTTTCGGGTGCTGGGTGCACACGATGAACCAAACCACACCCAGCCGTTCTGGCGTCCCGCCTGCCCAGGAGACCCACCCACCCCCCAGCAGCCCCTGCCCCGGTTGTGGGCACTCAGGAGGGGTGGGAAGGCAGACGACCCGAGTGAAAACTCTCTTCTTTTGCCAGCGTCCCTTCGGCCACCTCCCTCGGCTCCGCTCATCAGACCTGGTTTCTCGCTTCTCCTCCCGGGAGCCTCCCGGCTCCTAACGAGCAGGGCAGAGCAGGAGGCCCGGGACGGGGAGGCGGCCCGACCCTCCCTGCATCCCCTCGGGGGCTGTGTGACCCCAGGGCCCCTTGCTCCCTCTCTGAATTCCTCTTCAGCTCAGGAATGAAGATGCCGGACTGGCCCATCCAGTTTGCCGGAAAGGCCCTTTTATTAAAAAAAAAAATCCCATTTCCTTTATCGCCCTGGGGGGCAGGGGGCTCCAGAGGCAGGTGGGTTGACCTGTGTCCTCTGACCTCTCCTGGTCCCCCGGGTCCCCCGGGCCGAGCTGTGGAGGACGCAATTCTGGCAGGAGTGAGACGCGGCCCGGGAGGCGGTGGGAACCGGCCGGCTGCGACAGGAGGCCGGGTTGTTTTCCCTCCATCCTGAGGCCGCCTCGGGGGGCGCCGACCAGGCGGAAGGGACCAGCCCAGGCCGGCCGCGGCTGGAGCCGGTGGCAGCAGAGCCGGGTGGCAGGGGGCTGGGCCTGCCCACCGTCCAGCCACGCTGACCTTGAGCCTGTCCCGTCCTGTCCTCCGGGCGCAGGGGACGCGAGGGCGGACGAGGACTGGACATCCCAGAAAGTGTTTTCGGGCCCAAACCGTGCGGGGCTGCTGTCTGGTCTGCTTCAGAGGCAGAGGGGGTTGCAAACTGCAGCCTGAGGGCTGAGTCGCCCCTTGGTCTTGTTTCTGGGGTCCCACATCGTATGGACAGGTGACAGTGAACCAGACCACAGGGAGAAGGCTCAGGGGCCAGGGCCGGGGGGCAGAGGGGGGACATGTGCGGTGGGGGAGCTCCACGCACTTCACCCCGAGAAGGCCGATGTCCTGCAGTAATGGGCGGCTTCGAGGAGGGGGTGGAGCAGAGGTAACAGAAACCCCAGCTGCTCAGAGCTTCCCAGGAAAGGAGGGAGGACGGGCACTCAGCTATGAGAAGAGCTTGTGCAAAGGCCAGGGGGCAGGCTCCGGCATGGCCTCCTTAGAGAACCTCAATGGAGCCAGCGAGGAGCGGCTGGGGCCACACGCCTTGGGGTCGGGGGTCAGAACGCAGATGGTGGAGGCCCGGCCACACCTGTGTCCCCCTAAATCCCTACAACAGGGACTTTGCATGAGGTGCCCACGGAGGCGCTAATGGGCACACATGCCCACTTTAAGGAGGGTGACATGGGGGGGTCACCTCTCAGACATGATTTAGCCGGGGTCTCCTGCAGACACTGGGGCCGGGTCACTCTCTGTGGGGGGCCATTCTGGGCACTGTGGGGGGTCGAGCAGCATCCCTGGCCCCCACACTTGATGCCAGGAGCGTCCCCAATGTGACAAACACAGATGTCCCCAGACATGGCCTGGTGTCCCCAGGGGCACAGTCCTGGCTGGAGGACCCCTAGGTTGGCCTCTGTCCTTCTGCCCCCTGGACCCAGACGGGGTCAGGGTGGAGACGCCGAGGAAAAAAACCACAGAGGAGCCTTTTTCTGTTAAAAGTCAGAAGTGTCTTGTCTTGTTTTAATATCTCATCAGCTTTACAGGGTTACAATTGTCTTAAATATTTCTGGTTTAAATACAATCTGCATAATAATGTTATAAAATGTAAACTTTCAGTGTTCTTTTAAATTTCAAAATCACACCTTTTTTTTTTTTCTCTTTTTTGGTTTTTCTGTCTTTTTTTTTTTCTTTTTCCCTTTTAATACCTGAATGTTCTGCAAAAACTGAAATCGGTACTGGCCGCCCCGCCGCGGCCGGAGGTAGAGAGTAGTTGACATCTTTTTCTTAAAAGTATCTTTTTTTCCTTTCACCTGAGTTGGGGTGCGTCCCTGCGCCGTGGGACAAACCCCAGAGAAGCTGACATTTCACATGTCCGGAATGGAGGCGGAGTTCATGTTTGCCGAGAAAAAGAAACGCAAAAACGAAATGAGGGAAGAAAAAAAAAGGAAAGAAGTGGCAAAAAATGATAAAAAGCGATAAAAGTGACTGTACAAATGCACGACTATTACAGACTAACCCAGCCGCCCCGACGCCCCATCCCCCTCCCTGCCCGACAGCCGGACAGCCCTGTGGCTAGTTTAGGGGCCACACAGAACATTCTAGAAGCTGCCCGTCCGCCAACATCTCCGGAGCAGGGGAGCCCCCGGGAGCCCTCTGACCCTGAGATTGGGGGTCCCCGCCCTCGCTGTGCTGCTCAGCCCCACCCATTCTGGGGTGAACGGTGCACCAGCCTGCTTTGCATAAGGGGTGCAGAGCGCACCCCAGAACCCCCCACAGGACAGGACAGGTGGTGGCCGCAGCCGGGAGCCCTACCATCACCAGTGTTGCCCGCAGGGGCACCCTGAGTTAGATCGGGGGCCACACCACCCACCCCACGCGACCCCCGGGCCCCTGACACACACGGACACGCGACAGGCACGCAGGACCGAGGCCAGCGCCCCAGGATGCAGGGGGCCGGGAGGGTCCCGGTCCCTGGGAGGCCCTGAGCGGGTTTTGGCATTAAAGTCAGACCTGAGGTAGAAGGACCCTCACGCGGATGGCCCCCCGCGGGCCGAAGGCGGCCGGCCTGGCTCCCCGGCCGGGTTGGGGGGACAGCTCTTGGGCGGGACCGGACTGTGTCCCCTCCCACCATGATTGTGCTGCTGCGGAGGCAGATGGGGAGGAGGGAACCTTCCAGAAGGAAAAACAGAGAGAGAAGCCCCCTGCCCATGCCACCCGCTCCTGGGGGGTGGAGGGGGCGTCATGACCCTGAGATACAACAAAGAAGGGGTTCCCTCCGGAAGACACGGCCCCCCGAGACAGCAACCCCCAGGACCCCCAGGTCTCCAAGGCAACCATGCCCCCGGGGGGGAGCCGGGAGGTGGCCCCTCGCGGCCTCGTTAGGCCGGGCGCCCGGGGCCCAATTACAGACTCAGGGCCACCCGGGGGACAGAGAGTTCATCCCCACAGAGGGACAGAACCCACTGACACCACCTCTAACGGGGGCCGGGGTCCTGGGGGGCAGCCCCTCCTCGGCCTGCAGAGACCGTGTCCCCGAGCAGAGGGACCAAGTGGAGGGGAGGAGATGGGGGGGTGCAGGATGCCGTGGCCCCAAAATCTCACCCTGAGCTAAGCCCGGCTCACCCGTCCCCGTATCCACAGCCCCACTGGCAGCCCTTTTGGGCCAGAGAGGCTGCAGCCACTTCATCCCTGAGACAGGAGCCTGGGGGCTGGGACGCCGGAGCCCCCCATCTCCACCCATTTCCAGCACTTTCTCCTCCCTAGTTAAGACTCGCAGGTCCCTGACGGGAGAGCTGGTCCGAGGGGCACCCGGGATGTCACGGTCACATAGCATCCACGCCCCGCCGCCCCAGCACCTGAGTTCACGGCCTCCGCAGGCTCCAGCTGCCCGCCAACCACAGGCAACGCCCCCAAAGCAGTCATGGGAAAAATAAAAAAGGTATCCGATTTTTTTCTTTTTTTTTTCGCTTTTTCAAGTCCAGTTTCCCTGAATGAAGACAAATATATAGATATATAGATATATATATCCTCTTCCTAAGGTTCGATTCCTCCCCCGAAGAATAAAATAGACTATTTACAAAACAACACCCCGAGACCTCTTAAAAACCCCATAGAGTTCAAATAGCGCTATGTCCTTAAAAAAAAAAAAAAAGTCCCGAAAGCAACAAGAAAAAAAAAAAAAACTCAACTCATCTTGGCTCAGGGGCTTCATTCAACACAAGGAGCCGGGTGTGCGAGTGTGTGATGGAGAAAACAATAAAAAATAAAAGCGAAAAAAACAGGCAAAAATGAAAACACGCAGTGCAGGGATGTATGAGGTAAACAGGATCGGCCCGACATCGCGACGGGGCCGACCCGGACCCCCGAGTCCAGTCCAAGTGGGGCCCCCGGGGCCACGGGAACAGCCCCCCTCTCTTCCCATCTCCTCCGCTGCTCTCTGAATGTCCGAAACCTGAGTAATTCAAGTGTTCCTTGGTCGCCCCCTGTTTTATTAAATCTTCTTTATATATATAGACGTATATATTTTCTTTCTCTTTTTGGCGCTAGCTGTGGCTCGGTGGTGGGTGTCTCCCCCCACCCGTATCTGCCGCCGGCCCGGCCCGCGGGGCCCACCTGATCCCCTGCCCGGCCTGGCGGGCCCCGGGTGGGCGTGGGGGGCTGGTTAAGGCAATGAGTTAGTTGAGGTAGAAGACGTGGCCGAGCCCGATGACCCCGCTGGCCCGGCCTGGCCGCCCGCGCTGCTGCCGGTCCCAGCGTGTCCTCCCCGGCTGCTGCCACCGCCGCCTTTGCTGGGGGCCGCGGGCGGCGTGGGGGCCGGCGGCTGGGCAAACAGCACTCCTGCAGGGGGACAGGGGACACGCGTGTCACCGGGACTGTGAAAGGACCACGTGGCGGGCACCACGTAGAGCATCTCACTCGAGCCGCCCGGCTGGACCCAGGGGACCCGGGACTCCCGCGTCACCGGGGAGGGGGCGGCGGGTCCCTACCTGTGTACACGATCCCGTTGATCTCCACGGACATGCTAATACTGTTGCCGCCGTTGCCGCCGGGCACGCTCGCGGCCGAGTCCTGGCGGCTCTCGGAGGCTGTGGGAGGAGAAACACCACCATTCACCGTCATAACCGGATCCGGACGCACACAGCAGGCACTCAATAAATACTTATAGAACACGAATGCATTTGTCTAAAATTTGCTTTTCTCATGATTATGAGTCTCAAGCCACGTCGGCACGCCCAAGTCCTCTCATTCTTTTTTTTTTTTGCTGAGTAAGATTGGCCCTGAGCTGACATCCGTGCCCATCTTCCTCCACTTTATATGGGACGCAGCCACAGCACGGCCTGACAAGTGGTGCGTTGGTGCGCGCCCGGGATCCGACCCGGCGAACCCCGAGCCGCCGCAGCGAAGCGTGCGCACTTAACCACTACACCACCAGGCCAGCCCCATCTCATTCTTTCTAACAGCTGCAAAGTGGCCCAGACTCGACTCATTCACTCCCCGACCGATGGACACAGGTTGCTTCAAGGCCTCGCTATACGTTCTTGTCCAGTCGTGTGCCGCATAACGACATCTCGGTCCACGACGGACCACACACATGATGGTGGTCCCGTAAGATTAGGACCACACAGCCCAGGTGTGTCGTCGGCTGCACCATCTAGGTGTGTAAGTCACTCTATGATGTTCGCACAACGACGAAATCGCCTAATGACACAGTTCTCAGAAATCATCCCGTCGTTAAGCAACGCACGACTGTATGTTTCCTCGAACGGCTGCACTAGCTCTGCCGTGGACGCCACGTAGGATCACGGGGCAAACACATTGTCTACTTTTAAAGGGATGGAAAAATTGTTGTCTCTTTACACTCCCACCACCCTGACGAAGGGGGCCCATTTCCCCACACCCTGAGCAACATCGATATTCTCAAACTCTGGTATCTCCTTGTTAACGTGAGGATCCCCAACCAGACGGAGTTGAACAACTTTTCTTACAAATTTACTAGTCACAGCTGCCCATTTCTTCAGTTGGCTTGTCTGCCTTTTTTTTCTTATTGCTTTCTAGGCACTCTTTACGTATGATGGCTCTGAGGCCCCTATTTGGGGACACAGGCAGGAAGCACGGAGAGTCAAGGATACCTTGGCTGTTGATGCGAATGCTCATGGGCAGCTGGGCGGTCATGGCCAGGAAGTTCTGCTGCAGGGCCCGCTGCATCAGCCGTTGCTGCTCGTCGGCCACCAGGGCCATCTTCTTCTCCGGAGGCTCCCCGGACTCCAGCTTCTCCCGGAGCTGCTCCAAGGCGGCCGCCTGTGCCGCCACGGCTGCCTGGGCTGCTGCTGCTTGCACTGCTGCTGCCTGGGCTGCCACCACAGGGTGGCCCGCCAGGGAGACTGGCAGGCGGCCGGGGACCGTGATGGGGATAGCCGAGTCCTCCTCTAGACAGGAGAGAAGAGGAGTCGGTGGCCAGAAGGGAACTGAGGTGGCCTGGCCCTGCCTTCCACCCCAGGCAGGAGTGTGCAGCCTCTTGAATACCACCACTGACGGGGTGCTCACCTCCTCTCCAGGGAAGTGGACAGGTTTTTGAATAGACACAAAGGCTATAAAATCCTTTCTAATATCAGGCTCCTGGTAGCTGCCATCATGACGGGAACGTTGGTGATGAAGTAACAATACTAGCTACAGTAACAGTACTACAGTAGTAGGCAGCATTAGCGTTAAAGAGACTAAACAACATATATTATAGACATCACTAATTATAATGAGCTCACCACGTCTTGTCTAAAGCCATCAACTTGAAGGGCCGTCTCAACAACCCCATCCTACCTGAACCCTCTCATCCCCATTTTACAGATGAGGAAACCGAGGCTGAGAGAGGATGCATAACTTTCCCAAGGCCACAGAGCTGGAGAGAGGTTCAGCTGGGATTCAAACCCAGAATTCCAGAGCCAGCTCCCAACCATTCTCCTCCTCCCTAGTTGACACGAATGTCCCGGCTGTTCCCACACACTCTGGTCCCACTGGGGCCCGCTGTCTCTTCTTCTCCTGACTCTTCCTCCCCTGTCTATCCCTGCTCGCCTGGCACTGCCTCTACATGCCGTGTCCCCACTCCGGCCTTCGCAGTTGCTGGGCCTCCTGCTCTGGCGTTTCCGCAGCGTCCTCTCCTGTGCCTCCTTCTTCTGGCCTCAGCTGCAACGCCACCTCCTCAGGGGCCCCCTCATCAACCAGCTTTCCTGTCCCCGGGAGCCTCCAACTGTTGCTCACTGCGCCTTGGCTCTCTCGTGAGCTCCCCTCAGTCAGAACCCCTCATTCTCGTGCACCCCCAACTCCCCCCAGCTTCAGTACACAGTGGATCTGAATAACCCCTCATAGGTATCCCAGGAACGCCCCAAGGTTGGGGTAAACCGAGGCCCGCAGAGGACTGAATGAGCTAATGTTAGCGAGACCCCCTTCACCTTCGATCTGACCAGTCCCGAATTTTCAGGGCACCATGGGGTCACCTCGGACCCTCGGGCCAACCCCAGGAAGTAGGGAGTCACGGGCCATGTGGCAGATGAGAAATGGGAACTCTGACGGTGCCCAGACCTGCCTGAGGCCACGCTGTCACACATGCTGTTGGTGCTTCCGTGTTAGGAAGGATTCAGAGGCTCAGCGGGAGAGAGGACCGTGATCGACTGGTGATGTCTGCCGTGAACGGGGACTCGGGGTGGGGGGCTCTCTGCCTACCCAGGCCGGTGCATCTGGGCATTTTACACTCTGAATGCTCCCCAAACTCTACAAGGAAGGGATAATTTCCCCCACTTTACCCATAGAGAAAGCCGGGCTCAGAAAGGGGCAGTGGGCACCCGGCAACAGCTTCCAGGACAGTTAAGGGGTCATTTGATGGACCCACGTATATTGTCAATGACGTCTGCTGGGACAGCGTGTTGAGAAGGATTCTAAACCTCAAAGGGAAAGGATATGGTGATCAACTAGTACTGTCTGTCATGGGCAAGGATGGGGAAAAAACTTAATTAATTAATAGGGTTGGCCGCAGGCAGAATATGGAACCAGTGCCACTATGATTGATTAGCAATGTTTGCCACAGCATCAGGAAAGAGTGCAGCGCTCAACTAGCAATGTCTGCCTCCGCGTGGACCAGGGAAACAGTGATTAATTAGTAATGTCTGCTGGGGCAAAGGATGGGAAAACTGTGCTCGATTTGTAATATCTGCCTTGGCACAGAACTGGATGAAAAAACTATTGATTAGTGATGTCTGCCAAGGGCATGGGATTGGAGGAAAACGGATTGATTAGCAATGCCTGCCACAGCATCAGGAAAGAGTGCAGGGGCCCGCCCAGTGGCGCAAGCGGTTAAGTGTGCGCACTCTGCTGTGGCGGCCTGGGGTTCGCTGGTTCAGATCCCGGGCGCGCACCAACGCACTGCTTGGCAAGCCATGCTATGGCGGCGTCCCATATAAAATGGAGGAAGATGGGTACGGATGTTAGCACAGGGCCAGTCTTCCTCAGCAAAAAAAGAGGAGGATTGGCAGATGTTAGCACAGCGCTGATCTCTTCACAAAAAAGAGTGCAGAGCTCAACTAGTAATGTCTGCCTCAGTGTGGACTGGGAAATAGTGATTAATTAGTAATGTCTGCCAAGGGCGTGGGATTGGAAGAAACTGATTGATTGGTAATGTCTGCCTGCTGTGGGCATGGAATTGGAGAAAAATGGTGATTGATTAGTAATGTCTGCAGTGGGCACCACACAGGCAGATTGGCCGCCCTCTTCCACACCAACTTGGGGGTTTATCATCCTGGTTACCCAAAGAGGAAAAAAGGCAGCCCCGCCCCCCCAAGGTCACACAGCTGGGCTGGAGCTGAGTCAAGACCTGGTCCCAGGTCCTGGGCAGCCTCTTACCCTTCTTGATCTTGGGGGCTGGGGTGATGGAGCTGCCGTTGGTGCTGGCGGCCAGGCCCAGGGAGGACACGGGCAGCTTGGGTGAGGACAGCATGCCGTGGGCCCCGCCCGGCGAGTAGGCAAAGAGGGAGCCCCCAAAGCTCTGGCGCCGGCCCTCCCGCCGGTTGCTGTCGATGGCGGCCTGGAGCTCGTTGGGGTTGCTGAGGCCCCGCTTCTCACACTCATAGGGGTATAGGTATTTCATGTACCTGCAGGTGGGGTGGGGGCATGATGGCACCTGAGACGCCTCCTGTGGCTCCCTGGGGCCCCCGGCATGGAGCCAAACCCCGTCGTGGCACCACCTCCCTGTCCTGCCACACATCGTCACCGGGGAATCACTCATCAGAACTTGGAGCCACAGCCTTTGATTATGCTGTTCCCTCTGTCTCATTACCTGTCCCCATGACAACCTGTCACTAATCAGCACTCAATTCGCATTCTCGGGACTCAGACATATCACGTGGCCCATTGCCTCCGTGGTCCATCTGGCTGCCTCCTCCTCTCGCTACTCCCCGGCTGCCCCCGATCCTTCCTGCCTCAGGCCCTTTGCATGTGCCATCCCCTCTGCTCAGGACACCCTCCCCAATCCTGGTCACCCCATGGTCCCTCCTGCCTCAGGCCCTTTGCACGTGCCGCCCCCTGCCCAGGACACATCCGGACCCCGGCCTCAGGCGGCACTCACTGGGTCCGCAGGGTGAAGGCGGCGCTGGTGATGGACGTGGGCAGGTTGAGGCCCTTGGTGATCTCGCGCCACAGCTTCTTGTTGATGACCTCCACCAGGCCGCCCTTCTCCGTCACCAGCACATACAGCATGAACAGGTCGAGCACCTGCTTGGCCATGATGGGGATGCGGTTCACAGGCGTCCCTGCGGGGAGGGGCGGGGAGGGTGAGGCAGGGGCGCCATCACCGTGGTGGGGGTTGGGCAGGACACGCAGCAGACGCCAAGTCCGTGGCTAACAGGCTGGTCCAGAGCGAGCTCCCCCCTTGGCACTGTGACACCGGTGCCAGGTCATTGTCTGGGGGGCTGTCCTGGGTGCTGTGGGGGGTTGAGCAGCATCCCTGGCCCCACCCACTTGATGCCAGGAGCTCCCCCAGTGTGACACCCACAGACGTCCCCAGACGTGGCCCAGGGTCCCCTGGGGGCAGTCACCCAGGTGAGATCCCCGCTGCAGACAGCACCGAGGAGGCGGCTCTGCCTCAGTTTCCCCATCTGTGATCCGGACTCATCACAGATCTCACCTGGGGCCTGAGGGGGCACAGAGAGGAGGGAGCAGCTGTGGGGACCCCCTGGGGTCACGCCTGAGACACAGACCTTGTTATTGCTGCTCTGTCTCCAGCCCAACAGCTGCCAAAACAACCCGCCCGCGTTCCTGGAGGCCGGCTCCTGCCAGGGACGGGGCTGTGCGGGCAAGGAGGGAGCCTGGTTAATCCGCTCAGCAGCGTAGATGGGGGGCAGTGGGCCAGCCTGGGAGCGAGGCGCCCCCTCTTCCATCCACCCTGACCCTCCAGGCCCCACACACGCCGTCTCCCTGTCACCAGGAGCCCCGGCCGCAGGGTCTTCAGACCCCAGCTACCCCCATCCGGCACCTTCCCGGCTGAGGGCAGAGAAGCCCCCGTTGACACCTCTCTCCCCGGCACTGAAATGCCCCCACCCCCCCGCCGTCCTGCCCACATGGGGTCCCCCAGCGCTCAGCGTGGGATACAGCAGGCACTCAACACCCCCTGAAGGAAGGTCCAGCCTCGGGTGAGGGGCCAGCTCGCCTCCTCCCGGCCTGGACGATGTCCTCCACCTCTGGACCCTGGTTCCCAGCTCCCCCAAAGCCACATATTCTGGAACCACCTCCCACCACCCTCAGCCACTCCCGGGCCCTTCCCAGGTTGCAAAATCCCCTGTGAATGGACCTCAGGCACCCCTCCCTGCCCAAGTCCATTTCTCAGTCCAAGAGGGAGAGAAAAACAAGCAGAACCAAGTGTCAATGGCATGCTCGCCCTGAGCACACCCGACCTGAGCCCACCCACCCTGAGCTGCGCTGCCCACGCACCCAGGACACTGGTGTGGGCAGAGCCTCCGGGGGAAAAAAGAACAGAAGGAATCACACCAAGATCCTCCCGGCCCTCGGGCGTCGCTCTGCAGCCGGCGGGGCCTGGACGGATGTTTACAGAAGGAGCGGGGGCTGGGAGACCACAGAGCCGCATTGATGGAGGCCGGGCCATGGGGGCGATAAGGAAGGGTGGAGAGGTAGTCAAGGAAACAGCAGGAGGGTGGGGTGCGGGCAGGACCCCTCCCGCCTTTCCAGGCCCTGGAGAATTCTGACAGATTCAGTTGGGGGCTTCTCCTTTGTGATATGGGGAAAAACACTCCTTTTCCTCCGGAGCGAAGGGGAAGGGGCTTGTGGGATGCAGGACACGGTGTCCAGGGAGAAGGGGGCTTCTGACAGATTCTCAGCCCCAAAAGCCCCCAGTTACAGAGGGGGAGGGTCCAAGGAGATGGCAGGGAAGAGGGGACCTTGGAGCTGGGTTCTGAGGGATGCATAGGAGTTTGGTGCCTCCTGCCCTCCAGGAGCGCCTGGCTTGGTGAGGGAGGCAGGGCTGGACAGAGACCTCGCAGCCCTGTGTGGCCAGGGGCTGGCCTGACGCGTCTGGGGCCCAGCCTCACCCACACTTCCTAAATACCTCCAGGAGGCCAGGTGCCCAGTCTTGGGCAGAATGGGTGGGCTCCGGGCCTGGGAGCTCAGAGCCCCACGGTGGGGGGGTGGGAGGGGGGTCGGGCAGGTGTGGACGGGCCGATAAAGAGAGCAGGGGAGGGTCCCCCTGACCACATAGGGGGCGGCAGGCCTGGCTGCGGCTGGACGATAACAGGAGAGGGGCCCCCACCCCAGGACCGGTCTGGACTCGTCCGTCCCCGGCACGGGAGGGGTTAATCCGGAGGCCGCAGCCCCAGCCCGGGCCCATTGCGTCCCCTTCCCTTCCGGCCGGGCCTGGCCGGCCAGTGTTTACAGAAGCTGTGGGCGAGGGAGGGGCCAGCAGAGGCCCTGGACAAAGGGGCGGCCGGCTGGTCCCTGCAGTGGCCCCGGGGACCCCGAGGCTCCGCTGGCCCCACCCCTTCCTGCCTCTGTGGCTCAGAGGGGGTGTCCTCCCCGGCCTCAGTTTCCTTCCCTGAACAGCGGGGATTGTAATCCCCCCAAGGTGCGCTGTCGGGGGTCAGAGAAACGAGACCCACCCACAGTGGGCGTTCCTGGGACCCCATCCCCCTGGCCAGCAGGGACAGACCCCTGTCTCTCTGCCCCGTGGCAGCCCCAAGCTGAGGGCGAGACCCCGGGACACTGCTGAAGACCCCCAGGCGGCCCCTCGCCCTCTCTGGGCCTGGCTCACCCTGACTGCCCCTCCAGGGGTGGGGCCCTGGGCCCGCCCTGTGTCTGGGCCTCAGTTTCCCCACTGAGACACCCCAGACGCGAAGGGACTGAGGGCGGGATGGGCCACAGAGGTGGCTCGGGCCCAGCACATTGTTGGCGCTCAGTAAATACAGCCCAGCACTCAGCGTGTTTGGGGCGCCGCCACACGCGGGACTGTTTGCGGCCCGTCTCACAGATGGGGAAAGTGAGGCCCCGTGGGGAGCAGAGAAGGGGCCGGGGCCGGACCTCGCACCTGTGGCCACAGGACACCCGTCTCGGGGTCGCGAGGGCCAGGAAGCCTGTGCAGGAGATCCCGTCCTGTCGACCCAGTGCCCACTCGCCTAACTGGAGGCCAACCCTGCCCCCAAACAGAGGCTGGCCCACTGGGAGTGCCCTGGGAGCCAGGACCCCATGGGACCCCCTGCATCCGGTCTCAGCAGCAAGGGACGGAGCCTGGATGGTCAGCTCTGGGATGGGGGCGAGACCCCACCCCAAGGACTTACCCCTGAGATGCTCATGGTTGGGCCTCCCCCATCGGACCCGAGGGCTGGGCTGCACCTCCCCCTTCAGACCCACAGGCTGGGCCGTGCCTCCCCCATCAGACTGTGGGGCTGGGCCGTGCCTCCCCCATCGGACCCACAGGCTGGGCTGTGCCTCCCCCTTCAGACCCACAGGCTGGGCTGTGCCTCCCCCATCAGACTGTGCGGCTGGGCCGTGCCTCCCCCATCAGACTGTGGGGCTGGGCCGTGCCTCCCCTATCGGACCCACAGGCTGGGCCGCGCCTCCCCCTTCAGGCCCACAGGCTGGGCCGTGCCTCCCCCATCTGACCCACAGGCTGGGCCGTGCCTCCCCCATCTGACCCACAGGCTGGGCCGTGCCTCCCCCATCAGAAACTCCCGATGCCTCCAGCCCCTCCCTGCCGCTCTGACACAGCCCAGGCTGTGCCACTTCCGGGCCGTGCCGGCGGGCGGGCCTCACCTCGCTTCTGCATGAAGCTGAACAGGTCGTCCAGGAACTCCTTCCTCTTGGGGTCCCCGTCCAGTTCGTAGAGCTGTGAGGGCGGGGAGGGGACAGTTAGTCGGTGCAGAGGGGGGCGCGGGCGCCGCGTCCCCAGCGCACGGGGGGCCGACTGAGGGGGCTGCTGGCAGGGACAGGCCCTGACTCCGGTCCCCCTGGCCCCACCAGAGTCCAGACACCTCCCGAGACCCCACCGAGCATATGAGAACCCGGGCCCACTCAGACGAGGAGGCTGGCACACCTGCACGAGGGTCCTGGGGCGGCCGTTGCAAATGACCACAGACGGGGCGGCTTAAACCACAGAGCTTTATTCTCCCCGAGTCCTTGAGCCAGAGGATCACAGCGGGTGGGGCCGCGCTCCCCCCGGAGGACCCAGGGGAGGGTCCTTCCTGCCTCGTCCAGCCTCAGGGGGCTCCGGGGTCCCCGCACTCGCGGCCCTGGCCCTCCCGTCTCTGCTTCCCTCATCACGTGGCCTCTCCCTGTGTCTGCGTCCACACGTCGCTCTTCTTACGGGACACCCCTCATTGGACTTGGGGCCACCCCCCTCATCTCCATCTTAACTCAATTCCATCCGCAGGACCCTGTTTCCAGTCAAGGCCCGTTGATGGTACCAGGAGTTAGTCTTGAACTTGTCACTCTGGGGGACACAATTCGTCCCAGACGGTCGGCTCCGTTTTGCAGAAGAGGAAACTGAGGCCCAGAGGCAGATGAGCCCCGGACTGTCGGGGTTCTCTGGGCTAGTGCGGGGTAGGGGGCCCCGGCCACGCTGACCATCAGCTCCCAGGTGCCGGTGGGCGGGGGAAGCCGGCAGAGATAATTAGAGAGCGGAGCTGGGGGGGATTTGCCCAGGACGGGCAGCGGCAAAGAGCAGGCTTCAAATTAAGCTCCTGGGAATGCGGCCCCCATGGCCGCCGGGACTGAGGGATCAGGACTGCGGGGGGCCTTAAAACCATCAATTAGCCTGGCCAGGATAATCCGTCATCAGGGCCCCAGCACGAGCCGACGCCCAGCTCCTCTGCGTGGGACATCCCCGGGGCCTGGGGAGGCGGGGTCCTCGGGCCGGCCACCCCTCAGCCATGTTGCCCCTCCCTGGGCCTCAGTTTCCCCATCTGTGCAATGGAGACAAAGTGGGGCCTCTGGGGGACGGGCCGGGGGAGCCGGAGCCCAGACCTGGGTGGTCGAGGCTGGCCCTTTGTCTCCGCCCCGCCTGGCCGGGCTGGCCGGCCGCATTCCTGTGCTGATTTATGGCGGCCGGGAGGCCCTGTTTCCCCTGCCCGAGGGGTGCGGGGGCCCGCAGGTGGCTCTTCCCGTGGGCGTGCACCCGCCAGGCCTCGCCCCTGCCCCGTCCTGGCTCTCTCTGCCCCTGTCCCTGTGCGCCCCCGGGGACCCCGCACCCCTCCCCCACCAGCCTCCCACCACGGAGCCGTGGACGGCCACACTTCTGGTCCCCTGTCCTCTGCCCGGGAGAACGTCAGGGACTCTGTTTTCCTGCCTGTGTCGAGAACAGGCCGAGCACACAGCAGTGGCTTAATAAATGCTCGTTAAATGAACCCTCACTTTTCTCAGCTGCCACGGGGGCCGGGCCGGGCAGAGAGCGAGCTCACACGGACTCGTGGGGGTCTCGGCTGAGACGACAGGTGCCCCCAGATTCACGTCCCCCCAGAACCACGGAACGGGGCCTCATCTGGAAATGGGGCCTTTGAGATGTTGTCAGTTAAGCGCAGATCATTCCAGACAGAGTGGGGTGGCCCTAAATCCAACGACGGGTGTCCTTATAAGAGAGGGGGACACAGAGACATGGGGAGACGGCCACGTGACCACAGAGGCAGGATCGGGGTGATGTGGCCACACCCCGGAAGCTGGACGAGGCAGGAGGGACCCTCCCCTGGGGCCCCTGGGGGGAGCGTGGCCCTGTGACCCCGTGATCTCGGACGCCCGGCCTCCTGGACGCACAGCACGAACTCTGGTCTGAGCCTCCTGCTTAGTGGTCATCTGTTACGGCCACCCCAAGAGGCTCATACGGGGCCCGTGAACCTCAGGCCCCTCCTGACGAGGGGACAACATCACCTTTGAGATCCTGACCTGGGGGGACGGGGGGTCTGCCCTCCCCGACCCCTTTTCCCTGGCCTGGCCCCCACAAGAGACCCTCCTGCCTCAGTTTCCCCACCTTTTGAGGACAGTGCGCAACAAACACGACAGCTTCACCCTCGGCGCCGGGAACCATTGTGACCCCCATATTCCAGGCGGGGAAACCGAGGCTCAGGGTGGGGACCAGCTGCCCCGCGACCCACGGGCACAGGCGGGCTGGTTCGGCAGGGAGCTGCTAACCCCCAGGCCAAATGGTGGGCGGACTGTGGTGGGACAGTCAGACCCCAGTGGGCCGGGGCATTGTGCGGGGCCATAAAGGGGGCTGTGCAGGACCCCCGGCTGCCGGAGGGGGAGGCGGCTTTAACAGCCGTTGCTGTGGGCAGCCAACAACAAAGCCGGCAGGAAAGGCCGCCCGGCTTTATGGGGCTCTGGCCCCGAGTTCCGCAGCCCCGCGGGTGTGTCCGCCCCGGCCAGCCTGCCAGGCCCCAGGGATGAGCGAACTGCGGGCGGTGTCTAGACCCCCCATGGCGGTGTCCAGGCTCCCCTCGGGGGCAGTGGGCCCGGCTGCCTGTCCTCGCAAGCCTCTCTCTGGGCCACGACACACGCAGAGCCCAGGCCTCGGTCCCTCCTGGCTTCGCGGGTCCAAGGCGGACCAGAAGGCGCTGCATGGGCCGCTGCCATACCCAGAGCCGCAAACCCCGGCTGGAGATGGGGAGAAACCTCCGGAAACCCCTCCCTCGGGCTGAGGGCCGAGATAAGCAGCCCCACTCTGCCCTCCCTGCAGCCTGATTTCCCGTGGCCTCTGACCACGAGGTCTCGCTCCGGCCCCTGCCTGACCTGAAGACCACCCCCCCCAGGGTCCACATGGTCCCAGGGGACCCCACCAGCCCCTCTCCCCGCCTCTGCCCTGGCGGTTCCTCCTGCCTGGAATGCTGTTCCAGCCGCCGGCTGCCCCGCGTCCAAGTCTCTCCACGAACGTAGTCCCGCCAGGGGCCCCGCCGGCCGACAGCGCCACCACCGCCCTGTCTCCACGTCTGTCACACACTTGGACACATTTACCGCTCTGGGGCCTCCCTCCCTCCCTGGCTCCCACCTCCGAGCCGCGTGGACGTCCACACCGGGCTGTCCGTCCGCCCGGGGGAACCTCAGAATTGTGTCTGTTGGTGGCCTATGTGGAGAACCGGGCACACAGCGGTTGCTTAATAAATGCTTGTTAAACGGACCTTGATTTCTCAGTGTGACATGGGGACGGGGCCGCTGACCCTTCCCCAAATGCAGACGTGCCACCGACCCTGGCTCGCCCGGCGATGGAAGGTGTCCCTTCCCCGGTTACCAAGGCCAGGCTGACCATGCATGCGTCTTCCCCTCCCCAGCACCACCCACTTCACAGAAGGGGAAACCGAGGCACAGAGCAGGTGGGGCCGACGCTCCCCCACTTCCCCCGGACTCAGCAGTTAGAGGGGCTTTTCCGGGAAGTCGGAGCGTGACCCCCCTGCCCCACAGTCTCCTACGGCTGCCGTCACCCAGCAAAGACCTCTCTTCTCACGCCTGGCCCTGGCCTCCCTCCACTCCAGCCGCAGCCTCGTGCCTGCTTCCTGGGCACAACGCACACGCCCTCACCCCAGGGCCTTTGCACAGGCTGTTCCCGGATCTCCCTGGCCCCTCTTCACCCTCTCACCCCTGCCTCCTGCCGCATGTGGGTTTAATGCCGGCCAGCAGAGGGGTGTGGAGAGGCCTGGTGGGGGAGGAGGGAGGTGCTGGGGGGCCGGCTGAGAGGTGTCCTGGGAATGCTAAGCATTTTTACCACCACGGCCGGGGTCAGCGGGGTGACAATGCTGACCAGGCCGAGACAACCCCGGAGTTGTGGGGGTCCCTCGGCTGCCCTGCAGGGGCAAGCAGGCCCCTCTGGAGCCATGGAGCCCACCCCGGGGTGGGACCCCCGCCCCAGCCTGCAGCCTGGAAGTCGGAGGAAAAGGCCCCACTGCCACCAGCAAACCCACAGAGTGAGGGACTGGCTGGGGGACGTGTTTGCGGGGAGGGCCCGGCCCCAGGTGGAGGTCACGGTGCCACCAGAAGGCCCCACCTGGGCGACAGTGTGCAGGTTCCCAGCCCAGGGAGCCCAGGGGTGGTGTCTGGCCTTGGCAGAGGGGCCCCGGCTATAAAGAAACCGCCCGTCCACGGGGCCCCCGGACGACCTTTGCCCCTTCATGGTGTCTGCTCAGGCCCCCTCCCGCCACCCAGGCGGCTCCAAAGTCCGTGGGGCCCCATCTCGGGAGGCGGCCACTGGGCCGGCAAGGACCCTGGGACGGAGGCGGCCGTCCTAGAGAGGGACCAAGATCAGGGCGAACCTGGAATGGCCTGTGCCCAGCGCCGGGGACGACCGTCTGGTGCAAACACGGAAACAGCAGAGAGACGCCCGAGCACGGGAAAGTTCTAAAAAGGCGCGTTTTTACCCCGTCCGGGACGGCGGATGGGAAACCAGGCTGCGGGGACAGGTTCACGAAGGCCTGGGCGGGAAGACGCCCCACCAGCAGCCGCCCCCACACCTCGTGCCCCGCGGGACCGCCCGGCGACTCCGCTGCTGAGGGTCAGAGGGGACAGATAGACGCCACCAGGCGGAGCCTCGGTGGAACCCGGCCGCTCGGGGGGGTCCGTGGAGGGAGGAGGCACCAGTGAGCCTGCAGCCTACTTTTCTCCAAATCTTTAAGAAGATATTTACGGAGGTGAAATTTACAAAACAGAGAACTCACCATTTTATAGTCAACAACTCAGAGGCATTTAGTGCATTCACAAGGTTGTGCAATCATCACCTCTAGCCAGTTCCAGAACATTCCATCAACGCCTACAGGAAGGCCCATCCCCCTCCCCAGCCCCTGACAACCACGAACCCACTTTCTGTCTGTGGATGCGCCTGTTCTGGACATTTCACGTCAATGGGATCACACA